GACACTTTTCCTTTTAGGATTTTGAGGACTCGTTAAGGAGAATCGGAAGCGGAATCGTTGAACCCCTCTACGATTCTCATCCCTAGGTGTAAGTGTCGCGTTACATAACCCCTGGTCTTAAAATGTCAGTTCACAGACTGCAGTTTGCGCTCACAAAATTTCATTCTTCGACCTTACCGCCATCCGCATAGGTCTCCGTGCCGTAACCATCCTGCAGTCCGTTATTCCAAGTGCCCTCGTACTTGGCACCGCTGGCCTGACTGATGCGCGTCCCGTATCTGCCTTTGAATCCGTGCGTCCACTCTCCCTTGTAGATCCAGTGTCCCTTGGTCTCCAAACCTAGACCGTGACGCTTTCCTTGGGACCAATACCCCTCGTAAGTGTTTCCACTCGGCCAGGTATACACTCCCACCACCTCAAACCCATAATTCCAGGAACCGGAGAACTCTCCTTGTCCTTTAGGTCCGGTACAGATCCCGTGCCCGTGCGCTTTACCTCCTTCCCAGCCTCCACAATAAGCTCCGCCATCATCGAACTCAAAGCGACCTCCGCTCATCACGCTGAATGCAATTACCACTAACTTATCAAACTTTCAGATGTGACTTATTGTGACAACAATAACGGACGGCTCAATCTCTGTCAGGCGCTGTTAAATCCATCTGTCAAACTCCACAGATGCGTAAAATGGAGATAGGAGATCCTTTCCTTGACTTGAACTTCTAGAATTGTCGTATATGCGCATAATTTGTTGATAAAGGTAAATCCTTAAATATGTAAAAAATGAAATAAACGTGCTGAAGTATGAAGTTGAAATGACTTGGGAAAGGGAGGATTGTTTTTTTAGTTAGGCTACATGATATTGTTTCAGTTTACAATGATATATTTAATCGAATTGTCGAGCCAGTGGTCTTTCATGGTTTTCAATCCCTCTCCCCGCTCCCTGCCTCCCCTCTTTGCACTTGGAGCTCCTGGATATGTTTTAGCAGTCCCAACAAGGCTACCAGATCCCAACACTGTTCCAAAAATACAGGCCAATCGCCCCTCAGCAGCCAGGCACTTTTAAAAGCGCTGCAAGATCACTTGCAGAATAGGGTTTGGGCTCAATGTCCATATCAGGGGTCGGCGGAGTCCGTGTCTGTTATTTAAAGTGTGCATTTTCAAACTTAGATACTAGAAACTGTTGATGCAGTTGCTTCCCTTTGATTTATTTATTTTTTACAAGGTGCACTGGTTTACAAACGTTTTGAGAGTAGGCTAATAAAGACAGGAATAAACTGAAAGAGAGAAAATGTTAATGTATCACACCGGCTAACGCCTCATACAGTAACCAGATCATCCTTGGGCCAAGTAATCATTAGAATTTGACCTTTTGGGTTTTGAGGAGTTCAGCTAAGTTTAGTAGAGTGACATCAGTCTAATAATGCAATAAAACAAGATAAATATTATGTTACATCTAAATTCATTTTATGTTATTCTGACTATCTACACTGAAAAAAAAAAGATTTTAGACATCAGTCTAATAATGCAATAAAACAAGATAAATATTATGTTACATCTAAATTCATTTTATGTTATTCTGACTATCTACACTGACAAAAAAAAGATTTTGTGGTGTTAATTATATATATATAAAATATATTAAATTAATCATCATAAATTCTACTTGTAATATTAAAAATCAAGGAGAACAACAATTTTCTAAGTAAAATGTACACATTTAATTAATGTAATTAATGAAGTGCGTGAGAAGAGTAACTCTTATTAATATTTACTTGTAATATTTATATGTTTTATAGTCATTGCACATAAATCTAGAAATATTGAGTAAATTTTAATCTAAAAGTTCAGCGCGCTTGAATCTGCGCATGCGTGTTTGGACCCACGCTTTGAATCAGAGGGACGGTTGGGCTTGTCACGGAGGAGATGCATGGCTGGATTTTCTCGTGTTTAAGGTAAGTTTGCCTTTCTGTTTTAGATTTCTGATTTGTAATACTTTGGTCCGTGTGCATTTCGATAGTTTGATTCTTGTTTGCTTGACTCATTATACTGTACATTGACGTTCATATTAATCACATAACCTCATTAAAGTTAACTTGCGTGCGGTCACAGTGAGTGATATTTCAGCAAAAATGTTTTCAATAGTTCAGAGATTCACAAAGCTGTTTTTCGCGTAAAAACTTGGGCACAATTACAGAAAATTATTTAACCTTGTAACTTAACTGCTAGCTAGCTAACATCGTTACTAACTAAAACAATCGCATAGTTTAGCATGACGCTAGTTTCTGCTCTTTCAAACACTCGACTGACGTAATAGAGAGTAGAGCAATAACTTTGTAGTAATCTCAT